GCTGCCTCCCCGCCGCGGGGCGGCTTTCCGCATCGCTCTCAAATCGAGCTGAGTTCAGCCCTTCCGAATCCTTCAGTTCTGGTGCTGCACTAAGCGTGAGCTTAACAACAGCAGTAACGCTCAGAACAAGAAGAGACGTTAAGTTAAATCTGTTTGCCTCGCCTTTGTGCTGCCCTCGGCTGCATTTCCGAGGTTGCCGAACAGCTACGTGGCTCGAAATCCTGTTTTAAGTACAAGCTGACCATCTTGCCCGAGTCCCTGCCTCCCAGAACCGGGGCGTCGAGCAGAACGCCAGCGCCACCGGCCTCGCAACAGGGATCCCGCCGTTTGGCAACCCTGCCAACCAAGGGGGGTTATCCTGAGTCTCTGCACCCGGCTACCGCAGGCTACGGCCTCCCAAAAGCTGCTTCTCTGAGCAGCTGAGCCTGGAAAGCAGCAGTTTGGTGGGTCCACGTGCAACTAGGAAGAAGGGAGATGTTTCTGTGAAGGAACCTCAAGGCCAAGTAGCGCTTCAAATCCAGAAACTGCAGCAAAGGAACTGGAAAGGCGTTTAGCCAAAAATAAATAGACTAGGATAAAATAAAGCCAAACAAAGTCCCCGAGGAGGTCTGGTTTCAAGAAAGAAGTAAGACTCTCCTCTCTGCCACCAGCATCCGGGTGCCGTTCCCGGGGCTGTGGCAGGCCCAGGCCACGGACCGTGGGCTCCCTCTGTGACCTCCTCGTCATTTATGCTCAGTTCCTTGGATGTCTATATGCAGCCGTATGGATGTATAGATGGTAGCAGACAAAGAAAGAGACATCAAAATGAAGTGCTTTCTCTTGCTTCATTTTGCAGTGTTTCGATTTCTCTGAGACTGAACAATGCCGAAGCTCTTTCCTTTCCCCTAACGCTCCAGGTGACCCCAAATACAAGGAATAAGACCTGAATTTTTTTTTTTTTTCTGCCTTGCGGTGGCATGTGTGATGGGGCAGGACTCCTGAAGTCCCATCCCCTGACACCAGCTCACGCTATCGCAAAACGAGGGGACCTCAAACTGAGCACGCCCAACAGAGAAGGCAGAGAGGAAGCCCGGAGGAGCGCTCCGACGCCACCGCGGCCCCTCTCCCGGCACCGCTTCATTAGAGCAGAGACGCGGCTCCGGGCACAGCCGCTCCGGTGATGCTTCAGCAGGTACCTGCACTGCACCACCTCCGTCCTCAGACGTCTTTGGGCGAGAGACATCTTGAGCTATCGTTTCAGACAGCTGACACCGTAAAACGGTTGACGCAAGGAGGCCAGCGGTGCCCCCGGCATGAGCTGCGCCCCTATCGCAAAGCAGGATGAGGCACGCTTTCCGGTTCAGTTCTGCACTATCCGCTTTTCTTTTCTTTCTTTTTGATTAAAATAAAATGCAGGAGCCAGTTTGGTGGGTTTCTTCGATCCTGCTTCTTGGTCCTGAACCGAGGACCCCAGTTCCCTCCACATGCACTCACATGCAAGCAACCACATTTTTAAAGAACTGTTTGCCGCTTTTCAGCAGGGCTTGTCGGAGCTCAACATTTCTTCTAGCAACGCCAAGTCATACTTAGCGGGCATTAAAAAATGGATTTTAGGCATCTGTTAATAGACAAGAGGATCCACAACGTAACCTATTTTTCTAGCGACTTCAAGAAAACGCAACAAAACCAAATCCAACGTTTTCCACATAAATAACGTCTATGTTTGTGATGCCTGTTGATGCCACGCGCAGAGACCTGGTCTCCACGGCCAAGCGGAGACAGCGTCTGCGGCACGGGGCGTCGCGCAGGCGGGAACGCAGGGCAGAGCCGCCCTGCTCCCGCGGCCGAGCTCAGCGCCGCCAGCCCTGGCTGGCCGGGGCCTGGGCTGCTCAGAAGGGGCGAGATGGCTCAGGGTCCGCTTCGTGGCGATGCGCATCCGTCCACGGGCTCCTCTCGCTGCTCCCATCACCCTCAGGAAAGAGGCGACGGATCAGCCTAGAGCTGAGCATTAACCCCTCGTCTTGCTCCCGTTAAAGACGGGGGAGAGGCGGTTCAGAAAACCCGTTCCTGTTTTCTCAGCAGATCAATACGTCTCTCCTCTAACGCTTCACTTGGCGACTTATGCTTACGCCAGCGCTAAGCGCAGCCACAAACGTGCCGGGGAACGCAAATATCAGCAACGCCCGAGTCACTCATAACGCAGCGGCACCGGGGTGAGGGAAGCGGCTGGCGATCTTCCTGGCGCTCAAAGTAACCATCCGCCATCCATCGTCTACGCAGCGAGGGCGCCCCCGCTCCCCAAATTTCCATTGACGAAATAACCATCACCCAATGTACCTTGCAGCGGAAGCGGCTCAGATTTTGATACCCTTACTCGCCAGCAGGCAATCCCTTCCTCAGCCCGCAACCCCATTCGCTTCAAAGAAACCAAGCTAGGTAATCGGCACGCGTAAGGGTATCAGAATTTGGCCCTGAATTGTAAGAGGATAAATACGCGACTCCTCTCGTCTTCCAACGTCTTTTGTCAGAGTGCAACTCAATTACACCAGGGTGCATCTGGAACAAACCCGCTAACTGTAACGAGGCTCTTCCACAGCGACACAGGTTGAAATACAATTAGAATTAGCTCGACATTTGCATGTTTTCTAAGTGTAACGATAAACTTGCGGGAGCATGCAATTAACATCCAGACCCGGGGCCAGAATCGCAGCTGAGACGAATAAGCCCGGCTCTGCCCAAGCCAGCTGCACTGATATACCTTGCCGTGCAAGAGATGCAAAGCAGGCAAGCTCTGCTTTACTCCTGTAAATTACGGCATATTCCACGGTTTAATCCTGCCCTGCTGCACACCAGCTCCGGCCCACCGTATGCATTAAAGCAAAGCCAAGAATCCCCCAAACTGCTTGTTGTGAATGGCACATGGACTTTTTAACAATTTAACTGCTTGGACACACGGATGAGCGAAGCGTGACTTGTCCGGGCAGTTTGTCTAGAGCAGAGCTGGCCCTGATGCCTGGGGACTGCAGCGACAGGGGCTTAGAAACGCATGTAGGATTAATAACAACCACCACACACTGTTAAACACATCCTGCATCGCTCAGTTCTTGGTATCACTGGGAAACAGAGCAGGGAGGAAAAAAATACCTGGAATTGGGGTGTTTTAAGACATTTTCATTCCCATATTAAAACACAAGCGCGTTTCTTGTCTGCTACCATCTACGATGCATCAGCTGAGCTACGTACCATTCAAGGCAGCGTACGCTTTTTCCAATGACGTTATCCGTCTAGGGGCTACAGCACGAGTTAAAAGAAGAAAAAAAAAAAAGAGAGAAAGAAAAAGAGAGCAATGAGTGCTACAGCTTGGTTTTCTCGTTCACAAACAAAAGCAAAACCCAGGATGACTCCGTCCTTAACAGCTTAACACCGCTCTGGTCCCGAGGCCCTCTGGCATCAAGGTCGCTTCAGTCGCCCCCCGGATATCTGCTGAGCTATTTTCGCTGCTCATCCGCGCGGGGCACGTGCGAGCGCCGGCCCCGCGG